TGACTGAAATAAAGAGGAAAATCTCGGCGTGTTTGTCTCAGTTTAATGTTTCATGTTGGCATCGTCAGATAAAAACGTCCGCCGACGTTAACAGACACACAAACGTTTGTTTACATGAGATCCAATAAATACGAGGAGTTACAGTGGTGGACTGTGGAGGTCAGAGGTCACCTCTGAGCAAAGACGCTTCAGTGACAAAATAATAAAATGTTCAAACTGATTCGGAATAAAATCACAAAAAGGCACAACATGTAAAAACAGTAAGTTAGATCAGAAGCAGCAAAATAAATCATTTATTTTAATTATATTTATTATAAATTTACATATTTTTACTCTTCAAATATTCAGTTTATTCTTTATTGTCCTAGTTAAATCATCTACAAACTCATTTATTGCATGCAGCCCAGAGTTAAAACGCCTGATCATCATCAGCATCGAGAATTATTCATTTCAACTTGCAATTAATTTCTAAGGCTCATAAATATACATACACCCTGTATAATATTTGGTTTCAGGTCTCAGAGCCTCGAACGATAATTTTACTGACATAAGAAAATAATTTAGCTTGAATTTTCTGAAGTTTTATTCCAGAACCAGAATAAAGTTGAACTGGCTGGACAGAGTGAGGATGAGGAGGAGGATGAAGAAACTCGAAGCACGACAGAGCCAAGAAAAAAATAACTACCAGAAAAAAGTCGGAATAAAAGTCGTACGACAAAAAGTGAGAATAAAATGGTAAAATGAGAATAAAGTCAAAATTAAAAGATTATTTTGAGCATCTGAACTTTGAACTGAGTTCATTGGAGGAAAGAATCAAATCTGGATGTTTATCGAACTTTTGCTTCATGAAACTTTCCTCTAGTCATTTTATGACTTTATTCTCCTAATACAGGGGTGGCCAAGTCCAGTCCTCGAGAGCCACCATCCTGCAAGTTTTAGAAGTATCCTTACTCCAACAGACCGGGATCAGCTCTACAGAGGCCTGATAACGAGCCAGTCATTTGATTCAGGTGTGTTGAAGCAGGGATGCATCTGAAACTTGCAGGATGGCGGCTCTCGAGGACTGGACTTGGCCACCCCTGTCCTAATAAAAAAATGAAATCTCAGTTTGACCCGAATACTCTGGATGAATAAAACGACTGGAGCCCAGAACCTAAACAACAAGTCCATCTGCCCGGTTCAGGACGTTTCCATAGCAACGTGGAGCATCATGGGTATTCTGAGGATCTTGTCCTGAATCTAAAAGGTTCGGTTCAGCAGCGACTTCAGGTTTGGTTCTGAAACTTTTCCCTCAGGTTTTTCACGATGCTCTTCTGACCGCTCTGCCCGGAGTCGGGTCGGGTTCTCTGCGTCTCGTCCCGCTCTGAAGGCGGCGCCGTCTTGGCCGCGTCCCTCAGCCTGTAGTCGTCGGACTCCTGGTAGGCGCGGCAGCGGTCGATGACGGCCAGGATGGAGATCTTCTCCCGGCTGGTCGGCGAGCGGATCTGGACGTATCCGTCATCCTCTGCCGGCTCCCCGTTTCTGGGTTCTGGAAGCTTCTCCATGATGATGATCTTGTGTTCGGGGTCGTCTGTGAGCGGCGCCTCGGCGGCGATGTAGTAACCGGGGTCGGCGGGGCCGGCGGCCCGCCGGATCCGCTGCAGGTCGCCCAGCTGCTGCAGGCTGAGCCGCGGGTCCAGAGAGTTGGCCCTGTGCAGCCGTTTGGATCGCTCGTCCCGCGCCGCGGCCCGCCCGCTGCGGGGTCGGCCTGACGACGCGCCGTCGTCATGGAGATGGCCGGGCGAACCGCTGGAGTGCCTCCTGAGGCCGACGTCCAACATGCGGTCCGGGATGGTGCTGCTGCGGCTCATGGGCCGGTTCTGGTTCCGGCCGCCGCCGCTGGAGTATCTGGAGCGGAGTTCCCGCACGTCAGGCCAGCTGAAGCCCTCGGTGGGGGGCGGCGGGCTGAGAGGGGCGTGGCCTGGAGCGCCACCGCCCAGGTTCTGGACCAGGTCCACTGGGCTCAGCGGCAGAGACTTGGACTGGACCTTAGGACCCAGAGGCAGAGTCAGGCTGGGCTTCCCTGCAGAGAACAGACCGAAACCAGAGTTTAGAGGACAGAACCGACCAAAACCATCAAAAACAGCCCAGTTACTCTCAGCTGCAAAACGGGAAAAACAGGAGAACATCTGTGGTCTATGCCAGCGGGGCCCAAAGTGGGTCCTGGAGGCCCGGCGTCCTGCACGTTTTAGTTCTGTCCCTGGTGGTAGTAACAACCTTTCAGCTCGTCAACGTTCCTCTTAGGCCTCTAACGAGCCACCATTTGATCCAGGTGCGTCAAACCAGGGAGAGAACCAACACATGCAGGATGCCGGGCCTCCAGGACCCACTTTGGACCCACTGGTCCATACAAAACCTGTTCAGGGAGTCCTGTCTCTTTAAATCCAGCTGTTGCTGGCCCCGCCCCCCCCCACTCAATGTTTATACTCACATGGCTGCAAAAAGAAGCCATGTGAAAGCCTGCTTTGAAAAGCAGAAGTGGAGGCTCCTGCACAACCAGCTGGAATACAGCAAGAGGTTTCTAGATGGTAAGTCAACAACAAAACACTTTGCATTTTCCAGCAGCCATTGTACAGCGGGGAAACCAGCTGACCAAACACAATGGAGCTGTTGCTAGGTAACGGGCTGAGCTTTGCTGGGGTTGCTAGGTAATGGTGGACACCAAATGTGACTTTATCTGGAGGTTGTTCCAGCAGCTCATGGACTCTGGACAGATCGTCCAAGATGGCTCCCCCAGACCCTGTGTCATACCCTGACTCACCAGCAGAGGGAGCTGATGAATGGATTAGAGCTACACGGCGTACCTGAACCTTCCTTCTCCTCCACAACACAAGCCAGAGTCTTCCTGTTGAACGGGCCGGCAGGACTCCGCTGTCGGACCACCGGACTGGAGGATCTGATCCGCTGGCTGTAGCGACGAGCCAGAAGACGGACTTTGCTCTCGGCTCGGTCCACCTCGTCCGTTTGCTCCGTCTCCCCCGCGGGTTTGTCGCTGCCGGCCTCGGCCCTCAGCTGCGCCACCCGGGGCACCGTGGCTCGCAGTGTCACCGTCTCTTCCCCGAAGCTTCTGGAGGTGCTGGTCTGACTTCTGGCCCGGCTGAGTGCGGTTCTGGTCTTTGGCAGGGAGGGACTGAAGGAGTCCTCCGTGACGGCGCTGAGGTCGGAGTTTCCCAGGTCGGGGTCGCAGCTCTTGGTCCGGGTTAAGCTGCTGACGCCGGCGGAGATGGAGGGCTTCACAGTCTCTCTGGATCGACTGGATTCCCTGTCTTCACTTTGGGACCTGGAGATCTGTCGCTCCATCGCCTGCCAGATCTTAATCATCTCTGATGAAGGTCTGAACTCTTCCTCTGACAGATCATCAGCTGTCGGCCGGAACCCGTGCGGTTCTTCACTGTCGCTGCTCAACATATCGGACTTCAACAAGTCCAAAGACTGACTGGAGACCAAGCGGTCCTTAGTCTCAGCCGGTTGAATGGAGAGAGGATCCAGATCCTGGGCTGAAGCAGGAGGATTGGACTGGGCCGTCTCTGCTCTGGGGATGCTGTTGAAGCGGCTGACGGAGCTCCGGACCAGGCCTGATGGGATGTAGGTCAGGCTCTCCCGGCGCCGCAGGCCGAACGAGGCGTCCTGGTTCTCGGCGTTCTCGTAGTAGCTCTTGATTTTCCCGATGAGCAGCTGGTCCTGCTTCGACAGGGTGGAGTCCCGCCTCCGCCGAACGCTGCGGTCCGGCTCGAAGAGGCTGTCGTCTCTGGGGGACAGCAGACTGAGGTCCGGTCCGCAGAACGCCTCGGGCGGATCGGAGGAGTTGCTGTTGAGGCGCAGCGGGCGGTCGGCCGACTCGGACCGCAGGCTGAGCATGCTGCCGGTCCTGCTGGGTAAATGAGGGGACGGACAGCCGAGGGAGCGGGCGTCGTCCTGGGCCAGGCTGCCTCTCTTGATGCTGGTGAAGTGCTGAGCGATGGCGCTGGCCTTGTCCAGCACCGAGGACGGCAGAATACTGGGAGAACTGGACTCGTCATCCGCCGCCTCCCTCTCGTCCTCATCTGAGGACTCGGCGCTGCTCAGGGTCTTGGAGTCGGAATCAAATGTGGCAGAAGACGGTGGCTCAGCGGGCTCTGGATCTTCATCAGGCTGCAGGTCTTCAGACATCTGAGGAACCTCAGGGACTGCAGAAGGATCCGGACCAGCAGACGGTTCTGGTTCAGAGTCTTCTGGTTTCTCCAACGGTTTCTCTTGAAGCAACGCGTCTGCAGACTGAAAAGAAAAAGATATGGGTCAAAACATGAGGAACGTACCGGGCTCTCAGTTTATCGATGGTTGTGGTGTTTAAAGGCTGATGATTCGAGTCCCTGAGATTCTGATGTTACTGAGTCTTTGTGCCAAGTTGATCTGAACAGTTAGAGTCGTTTAGTTAAGGAAAGTTCCTGAACAGTTCCTGGACAGTTCCTGAACAGCTCCTGAACAGTTCCTGGACAGTTCCTGGACAGTTCCTCCTGGACAGTTCCTCCTGAACAGTTCCTGAACAGCTCCTGAACAGTTCCTGGACAGTTCCTGAAAAGTTTCAGAACAGTTCCTGAACAGGTCCTGAACAGTTCCTGGACAGTTCCTGAACAGTTCCTGAACAGTTCCTGAAAGCTGCTGTTTACCTGCTCAGGTGTCGGTTCAGGTCCGATCAGCTCGTCTTCAGAGAGCTGACCGTTTTCTTTGGTTGCGGCGTTGCAACTTTTCTCCGCCTCCTGCAAATAAAAACATATTAAACTCTGCAGAAGCCATGAAACTCATTTTAAACGGATGGAAATAAATATCTGACTGTTTGGAGGATGAAGCAGCACAGCAGCTTTTGCAAAACACGCCAGAGAAATAAATGCATAAAAAAAGGAATAAGCAGCAAACACAGAATGCAAACCTTCAGCCCTGAGGAACTCCAGAAGAGCAAAACAAGTCCAAGTTCAGTCTCAAGTGTCAAAGTTCAGCTGACGGTTCTGGTTCCACTGGCTGATTATTTCACTGACATGGGAAACCGTAATCAGTGAAACAATCAGCCAGTGGAACTGGGACTTTTCCATCAATACGAAGGAATTACTGACTGAAACTCCTACATGTCGCTGGGAAGTTACTTACAAGTTAGTTTTGTGTTATTTTAAGTGAACTGAGATATTCGGACTTGAAACGAGACTAAAATAGTTGGTAGGGTTTTGTGTTTCTGCAGTGTGAGCAGCAGCAGCTGGTTTTGCAGCTGGAGTTATGGCGGCCGTCCGTTCAGACGGAGCTGCAGCGGGCGCAGGCAGCAGGAAGCAGGAAGCCTCACCGTCCCCGCAGAGGAAAGGAAGGCCTGGACGGTGTGTTGCCAGCAGGAGATGGCAGCCAGCACGGAGCTGGCAAAGTCCTCTACCTGCTCGTCCTCCAGGAGGAAGTCGTCCAGCCGGCCGGCCTCGTCCTCGCCGCCGTCCGGCTCGCCCAGGCTGCTGGAGCCCAGCGTGCTGCTGCTGATGGCGCCCTGCAGCGAGCGCCTGTCGCCCGCCAGCGCGTCCTCACTGACCGCATGCTGCAGGACGCCACACACTGCTCAACATGCTACAGTACATCTGCAACCACGGCTAGTTGCCCCCACAGAGCCAGGCTAACGGCTAGCAGGTCAGTTCCTTACCTCCAGAGGCGCTGAGGCGGCAGCAGGTCAGCGGACGATTTGATTGGTTGGAAACAGAAAGAACTGGTTAGAATCACAACATTCAGGCTAAAGCATTTAGCTGGTGTTACATCTGGAATATTTCTGGTTCTGAACCATGAAACAACTTTTACTGCAACAGTTAAATAACAGAGCAAATTCATTATGAGGTCAATTACACAAAATGTAACACCGCCCCCAAGAGGGCAAAGGTTGTAATTACACTCCTACCTGTGAGCTTCGGTCTTCAGGAAGTGATTCGTTCAGCTTTGTTGTTGTTGAGTTTTGCTAGACTTTAAAATACTTACAGCAGAACCACAGCAATGCATGCTGGGTACCGAACCACAGCAATGCATGCTGGGTACCGAACCACGGCAATGCATGCTGGGTACCGAACCACGGCAATGCACACAAATGTTGAACTTTGTTCAACTTGAAGTTTACAGTCTGTTAGAGCTTTAGAATGAATCCATAAAGATAAATTTAGAGGAAGCTAAATGTGTCCAGCTAGTAAAACGCTAAAGCACTAAATTAAGACTTGGCTCTGCTATTAGCACATTAGTGGAAGTGCAGCCTTCAATGCAGCCAATTCAATTAGTTTGAATTTATCCAGAAAAATGAGTTTAGAGGAAGTTAAGTGTGCTAAACTTTGTCACAGTTAAATATTACAAATAAAAGATGTTCATCGATGTGAAAGTCAACAGAAAACAGATTTTTACCTTTATTCCTCTTCAGCATCTGCTTGGTTGGTTCTGAAGGAGAAATGAAACAGATTCATGTTTTCAATGAGACAATCAGAAATGATGAATTATAAATATTGATGTGTTTAATACCCAGAGGGGATTCATAACTGTACTCAACTCAGAGCAGGAATACTTCAACATGTTAGTCAACTAAAGGTAAAAAGTATCCGTCCAAGAAATTACTCAAGTGAAAAAGTATTTGGTAAAACTTACTGAGCAACTGATCAAATTATCAATCGTGTAATATTTAATCATCAGATAGAGCAAAATATAAAGAGAAATTTTTGATATTTTCATTACAATAATTCATATAAGTAACAAAAAATAAAATCAGGTAAAAGAAAATTGATCTAAATCAGTTTCTTCCAATATGAAACTAACAGAAACTGCAGAGTCTGTCTGCTGGATTTTAAAACGTTTGTTTTTCATTCAGTGGGAAGAAAATCCAGAAATTCACTCAAGTAAAAGTAAAAGGTACTGCGTAGTAAAAATACTCCTAAAGGGAAATGGGTAACACTTTATTTGAAGGGGGGTGAATAAGACTGTCATGACACTGTCATAAACATGACATAACACCTATCATGAACATGAATAAGTCTTCATGAATATTTATGACTGTTGTCATAAAGCGTCATTTGGTAAATTATGACACTTTTAATACAAAGTTGACATTATTCAAAATGTCTTTGTTATGACAACTTGACATTAACCAAGAAATCATTACTGATATAAATTTGTTATAAAAGTATTACTGATTGTACTTTAAAAATGAGGTAACTTTATGTTATTAAAGGTAAAGTTTAAACAGTAATGATTTCTTGGTTAATGTCAAGTTGTCATAAAGACATTTTGAATAATGTCAACTTTGTATTAAAAGTGTCATAATTTACCGAATGACGCTTTATGACAACAGTCATAAATATTCATGAAGGCTTATTGATGTTCATGACAGGTGTTATGACATGTTTATGACAGTCTTATTCAACCCCCTTCAAATAAAGTGTTACCGGGAAATGTTTTCATACAAGTAACTGAGTAACTAACTACCCGACTGCCTGCGGCCCTGCCGAGCGTCTCGGGGAAACTCGTCCGTCACGGCCTTCTTCAGCCGCTCGGGGCTGTATCGGTACCGGGCCGGACCTGCAGAGAAGCACAGCGCCGTCAGAGCCAGAACGCCGCCTCCGGCTGGAGGACGAAGAGCAGCAGAGTCATCCTCACAGATGGAGTCCATCTCCAGAATGGCTTCCTTGGCCTGAAACACAAAGCAGGCAGCTGCTGGGACTCTGTGCTGGTCTTACTGGTCGTACTGGAGTCTGAGCCACTCACCTTCTGTGGGATGGCCGCCTGGTGGTTTTCCAGGATGATGCGTTTGATGTGATGAGCCCAAAGCTTCTTCTCTTCCACCGTCTTCGCCTGAAACACGAAGCGAGTGAAGAGAGACGGCTGACCGGAAATCTGTCCACGGATTCCCAGAACGATTTCAGAAACTGGCAGTTCTGAGGTGGAGAGGCTGGATCTCACAGCTGCGATGGATCTAATTTTCTACACTCAGACAGCGTTGAAATGATTAATCGTGATTAATCAGTTATTGAAATCGTCAACTATTCTAGAAATAACTGGAGTATTAAAACATGACATTTACTGAGAAAAACACAACAGTCAGAGCAGTAATTAAGACAAGAATGTACAAAAAATATAAACATTTTGCATTTAAGATGAAAAACCTTCTTTGTGTATGCAAGTTTTTGTTGTTCAACTAATCGAATAATTGATTATTAAAATAATCGCTAGCTGCAGCCCTGGAGACAGACTGCTTTATATCGGCTGGAAAGTAAACATTTGAGTAAAGATCACATCTGGACCAGGTCGCAGCTGAACAATTATTTTAGAAATTTAGAATTGAATCAATTATTTGGATGATTAATTTTATTTAAAAAATGACACATTGAGCAGATTTTTCATTTAACCAGCTAAACTGACTTCACAAGATCAGAAATACAAACGGAAATGTAAAACAATCCATTTAGTTTTTAATTAAAAAGCTCAGATTTCTTTTCGGAACCTGTTGACGCTAAAATGCCACTTCAGGACTTCTGGGCAGAACAGATTTACAGAAAATGTGTTTTTTCCATCTTAAATGCAAATTGTTTATACATTTTGTTCAGTTTTGGCTTCAGTGCTGGTCTGGCTGTGCTGTTTTCAGTAAACTGACTTTTTCAGAGTCTGTAAACTCCAGTTAATGATCAATCAATTTCTAATTTTGTTTATTATTATTTTAATAAATGATCACGATTAACCATTTCCATCCTGTCTGGGGTTCCTCAAGGCTCTGTTGTCGAGCAAAATTTGGCTTGGAAATATATTTAGGAAAGTTTACTGCAGGTAATCGAGTATTTCATGTCAGTTTCCACCATTTGTCTCTGTTTAAAATTTGCACTTGATGTTTAATTGTTGCTCTTTCTAAGGCATTCGTTGCTCCTCGCTCAGCCGGCGGCGGCTCACCTGCATGTTGTGAGTCTGTTTGAGGTGTTTGTAATGGCTGACGCTGAAGCTCAGCGAATCCTTGGCGCTCTCGATCAGCAGCAGCGTCGACGACTGGAGAAGCAGAGAAACGTAGACATGAGGACGAAGCCGGCGCTGCCGCCAGGGGCCCGTTGCCGTGGTAACTCACAGAGATGTGCGTCTTGTAGACGAAGTGCTCGCCGCGGCGCTTGGTGATGAGCAGCATGCGGTCGAACAGGAAGAGCGTGCGCTCGTGTCGGGCCCGGGGAACCTTGAAGGTTCCCTCCAGCACCAGTTCGCCGTACGTGGTGAGGTCCGGACCTTTCCAGTTCACCAGCAGAGACTGGACCTCCTGCAAGAGGTCAAGGGTCAGACCAAGGCTGCTGCTGTTAGCGCTTTAGCGTAACTGTGCTAATGCGCCGCTAATAATGTGGAAGGAATCAACTTTTACATGATGAGTTTCACTTTTTGAAATGAAATGTTGCAATAACTAGAATGAGTGATTTATTGATGCTGCTGCAGCCGCCGTGACCACGTTAGCGACCTGCAGCCGCACGGCGTGCTCGTGTTTCCTCTTCATGTCGTTGATGTACCAGGCCACCCAGGTCATGGTGTAGAGCGCCTCCTCCACCACATCGTAGCCGTCCTTCTGAGGGCCGAAGTGCTTCGCGATCTCCTGAACACCAGCAGCAAGACGGAGAAAATCAGGTGGAAAACATCCGTTTCTACGCTGACCATGGTTTTCTGTTCATACGTCAACGATTTCATGTCAGCTGTGAATTTATAACCAATGAACTCGATGTGCGCCTGTCCTGGAATTTAAACTCAGAGTTTAGGATCCAAACAGAAAACGGTTCAACATCTAAACCTTTACAGTTTTCTGAACATTTTCAGCAAATTTCTACAAGATATAAACAAAAATTCACTAGAAGTTTATTCTACACTGAATAAATATGGAACCTGGAAAAACTGTAGGGAAACAAAAACATGTCTGTATTCCATAATTTTCCAGGCCTTGAAAACTCTTAAATTAATTCCAGATTTTTCCAGACAAAGAGGAAATCCTTAGAAACACAGAACCAGAAGTATTAAAACCAAATTAATCATCATGTTCCACACAGGTGAGGAAGGTCAGCAGGTGAGGAAGGTCAGCAGGTGAGGAAGGTCAGCAGGTGAGGAAGGTCAGCAGGTGAGGAAGGTCAGCAGGTGAGGTACCTGGAGCAGCAGGTGGTACTTGAGGATCCTCTGGACGGGTTTGAGCAGGTAGGAGCCCAGAGGCAGCGAATGCTTCAGCGACGCCTGGCGGTCCCGGAAAAACTTGGCCACAGATTTATTGTTCATGCACTTCGTCAGCGCTTCCACCGACCTGCAACAGGTGAGGTTGGAACAGGTGAGTCAGGCTTTAAACATCAGGTTACTGCAACTGAGACTGCCACCTTGTGGTGTGGAGGTAGAAACAGAGAAAAGGTGAATTATGGGTAGATATGACTAGTAACGCAGCTAATGATTAGTTTAGTTATTGATTATTCTGTTGAATATTCTGAATATTATTCAATTATTCTGAAAACTGTTAATCACATTTCTGATAAATCAGATATTTTGACGATTAATTGATTATTCTGTTGATTAATCATCAAAGTTCGGTTAATCGTTTCGGGTAATGAATGGATGAACTGGAAGCTGTGAGCAGGAGGAACCACAGAGCTGCTCGGTTCAGGACTTACTCTGGGTAGCTGGTGCAGTACTGGGTGTAGATATCGAAGTCTTCACTCTGGAACAAACCAGACATCAGATGAAGACTTTCCTCTCAGCAGCAGAACCAGTCTCACCTCCATGTTGGGTTTTAACCGACCTTTGACACGAAGCAGCTGGCGATGGCGACGGGGTCGTTGTCGCATCGCTCCAGGTCCTGCAGCAGCTCGCTGTGAAACGGGGAAACGGCGTCTAGTTCGCTCATACTGAACGTGCTTCAGCTAGCTTCAATTAGCTTCAGATAGCTTCTGCTAGCTTCCGCTAGCTTCAGTTAGCTTCAGCCAGCTTCTGTTAGCTTCAGCCAGCTTCTGTTAGCTTCAGCCAGCTTCAATTAGCTTCAGATAGCTTCTGCTAGCTTCTGCTAGCTTCAGTTAGCTTCAGCCAGCTTCTGTTAGGCTCAGCCAGCTTCTGTTAGCTTCAGCCAGCTTCAATTAGCTTCAGATAGCTTCTGCTAGCTTCTGCTAGCTTCAGTTAGCTTCTGTTAGCTTCAGCCAGCTTCTGTTAGCTTCAGCCAGCTTCTGTTAGCTTCAGCCAGCTTCTGTTAGCTTCAGC